TGGAAGGAAGGGAACTTCCTGAAGGAAGAGACGTGATCTTTTCTCCTAACTCTGGGCTGATCATCGGAGCACCTGCCCAGTCCACAGACCTGCCGCCGGGCCCAGGGCTTGGCAGACCCTTCACCAACCCCCTGGCCTCACCTCATCCACCCACAGAGCTTGCTGCCATATTTGCCAATGGCCTGGGCAGACACCAAGGCCCCTCTGTCTGCACCCAGGCTGTCTCTGGAATGACCCCCAGTTATCCAACCAGCCGGCGGGTGTTGGGGTGCCCCCTCCTAGGACGGCCTCGCCTACTTCCTCCTCTGCCTGCCATAAATGGGCAGGTTTTGCTGGAGCCTGATACTGAGAAATGAACTCGTTTTGTGTTCCGCGCTTCTGAGCTCTGTGTACACCAGGACCACAGCAGATGTAAACACTCGGCCTCTCTTGTCCAGCCAGATAAACTTCAGGCTTTCAGGGCGGCGCGGCCCAGCACACTCAGTGTTTAACAACGGTGTCAGCTGCAGCCCTTGCTCTGGGCTGAGGCCAGTTCTCTCCTCCCTCTGAAGTCCCAGATCCTGGGCCCCAGATGCTCAGGCCAGCGGGCAGGGGCGCAGGGCTCATCTCCTACAGGGGCCGCCTGGAACCCTCTAGCTTAGAGGCAAAGGGGGCTATCCATGAGGAATCAGTTCTGGAACGCTCCAGAGACCCCGTGTCCGCCAAAAGCCCCACCCTTCCTAGGAAGACATGTGATTTCAGTTTAAGCTTCAGATCCTGTGAAAACAAGGATCTACTCCCTTCACCCCTGACAGGGTGATGTTTTAAACTTCATTTATCATTTGTTATTCACTTATTCACCTGACATTTATTGAGCATCTACTATGTGCCAATGTGCCAGGCATTATACTGCCCTGCCTACTCAGAGTTGCCTGAAATCCCATCATTAGTGCTGGTCTCGTTAGTTTAAGGCTTCCATATCTATCTGTGTCAGATATAGACATAAGTAGCTATGCAGATATATAACATCTATTCTATGTATAAGAGTCCCTGTCCCTCACCCCTGAGTCATATTTTAAATGTTATTCATTTTCAATCAACCCACATTTATAGGGCACTCGTGGTGTGCTGGCAGCTCTCCTAGGCACCAGACATAAACAAGACATAGTCCAGGCCCTGAGGAGCTCCCTGTCCAGGGAGGTGGCTTTGATGGGTCCCAAGAGAGAGGAGGCAGGCAGACCAGTAAAGGCCACGGAGGACAGAGGGAAGCGATCAGGGGCACGGCCTCACCTCCTGGGCAGACAGGCATTTCACCCTCAGGGGCTCCCCCTCCTCTTCTCCAAATGAGGAACTAGATTGGGGCTCCTGGGTCCTTGAATTTCATGGACCAATCACATATCAAAAACCTAACGGAGGGTACCCTGTGGGTCACCAACTTTTTATTCCAGTAAATAAGCAATTTTAGAGAAAAAGGAAAACCAGGCTAACTCCCACCTGCCATCACCATTATTTCATGAAGGACAGGACATTTTAACCCTTTAAAAAGCAGGAATGAAGACTGATCCTTCCACCCGATCCATTTCGCTGAATAACAAGCTCACTGTGTTGTCGTGGTCCTCATGCTGCCCAGTCCAAGGGAACCATGTGGTGGCTAAGAGACCCACAGACCTTCCCAGCCTAGTGCCGTGATGCTGTGTGACTCACTGAAGTCACGACCGAGTGGCCCAGGCCCCGCAGTGCCCTCCCTCAGACACCGCTGCGGAAGCACCCAGTCCACACGCCTTCCCGGAGCCCCTCTGCTCTCCGTCTCCTTCCCTCACCCCTGCAGCTGCTCCACCTTCTCCTCCTCCAAACCCCTGAAAAAGACAGCTCCTCTCTCAACTCCAGTCTTCAGGCCTCCAGCCCAAGAGCCACAAGAACAGAGATCACGAGGAGCACGGGCGAGCTCACACCCATGTCCCGGAGGCTGCTGCTCGGCCCGGTGCTCACTGACCTGTGCTCCCCGGGCTCCCTTCAGGATGCTGGAGAGCCCGAGGCAGACAGTGCTCCGCTCTCCCCTCCTTCAGCCATTGTCTCAGCTCAGAGAGCTGCGCTGTGCAAGGCCACACCCCTTCTCGGGGCAGCCCACACCCAGTGATCGAGGTGGAAGTGTAAGGCCTGGCCACCTTTGCCCAACACCAGGTGACCTTCAAGGAAAATTCTAGTCCAGAGCGGCCCACGGGCTGTCCAAGGCTCCCTTTACCGCATCATAACTCAACTTCCTCCTCCGCCCACTCCTGCTGCCTCCTCCCTTCCCCAGGTGAGGATCCCTGACAAACAGCCTGCACCCTAAACTCTGAGTCAGGGGCACTTCCTAGCAGTGGCTCTCAACCTTGGCTGCACGCTAGAATCACCTGGGAATCTTTTTAAAATCCTGATTTCTGGGCCTCATCCTCCAGAAATTCTGTTTCTTTGTTATGGGGTGGGGCCACAACATTAGTAACAAAGAAACAGAATTTCCGGAGGATGAGGCTCAGAAATCAGGATTTTAAAAAGATTCCCAGGTGATTCTAATGTGCAGCCAAGGTAGAGAACCACTGCCCTAGAGGCTCCCTGTGCGCCATCAGCTCATCCAATCCCGGCCAGAACCGAGGGCCAGCCCTTCCCCCTCCACTTCCTGGTGGAAGGGCCATCCCACACACAAACCTCCATGAGCAAACCAGCGTCTTCATGTGCCCACAGGAGCTAAAGGAATTCAGACGTTTTCTCTCTTTTAACAAAGACTAGCCTTCAAGGGCGTCGTATACCCATGGGCCCAGCAGGTCCACCCCAAGCGGCAAGGCTGGTCAGTAAGTAACCGCTTTGTCCAGGGCGGCCCCCCACCCTCACCTTCCGTGAAGCGACCAGCACACAGCTGGAAAGCTGCAAGCACACATAGCTTAAGGGGGAATAATAGCTCTAAGGTTTAATGGCTCCAAAATAGAACCCCTGTGACATGTGCAATGGCGGTGGCAGGATAATGGGGAATTTGTACTATTATGGGCTTCTGTGACTGGTGACATGCTTGCAAGTGTGCCAGCCCTGCACTGTGCTGGCGCCTGAAGCTCAGCAAATTCAGCTACGTGGGAGCAGGGGGAGGACCAGCGAAGAGAGAAGTTGCCTTTGCTACATCCTGCTTCCACACTGTCTTCCTCGGAGCCCTGGCCGCAGAGCAGGAGACACAGATAAGCCCCAGGGCTGTGGATGCTGCTGCTGCGGCCAAACGAGATCAAAGGCAGTGGCCCTTCGGCCAAGGACAGACGTCCAAACAGAGGCTGGTGGCTTTCTCCGGAGAGGGAACAGGCCTCTGCCCCGTTGGCCTGGCCAGGACTGGGCCAGGTGTGCCTGGAGCTGACGCGGGGAGGGCAGGAGTCCCAAGAGCCCCATGACTACCGGGGAGCAGACCCTCCCCAAGGCGCAGGGTTGGATTCCAGGACACAAGCCCACGCTCAGCACAGCACGGCCACCGGTGCTAGTGAGAGAGAGCCCACCTCTGCGTAATGAGGGACACGCTCCCCGCCGCACAGGTGTATGTGAGCAAATTCCAGCTGCCTGGGAGTTAGCTGCTCTGCTCAGCGCCCACACGTGCACACAGTCAACAACCAAGAGCAGATTCCCGTGGGCAAACCCAGAGCAGCCCCAGCCAGTCCTTCCGGGACTCACGGGAGAGGCAGCGAGCCCTGACCTTGTCCTCTGTCCTCTGAGAGGGGTTAACCGAGGTCGCGGGGCCAGCAGCACTAGCGTCACCTAGGACCTGGTTAGAAATGCTTTGGGTTCTGTCTTCTCCCTCCTGCAGAGCCCCGAGCTTTTGAGCGGGGAGTAGGAGGGTAGCCCCTATGCTAAACAGACTTTACACACAGTATCTCATTTAAAACTCACAAAGACAATAGTCTTCATTTAACATCATGGATAGTTTCTGCGACTTTAAGCAAAACGATGCATGATAAAACCAGCTTTACCATAAGCTAACTGATATAAACAGAATTAAATTCCTACAGCGTCTCATTAATGTTATGATGAAACAACACGGAACAAAATAACGTTATTCAGGGACCGGCTGTGTGCCGTGAGGTGGACGCTTTCTCCCGATCCTTTTCGGCTGGGAAAGCCAAAGTTCCAAGAAGTTAAGAGACTTGCCTGGCATCACTGGGGCTGACTCTCACCCAGTCTGGCTCCCAAGTACGTGCTCCTAAGCACGTTCGACATGTAGCTCCTCGCCTGGGCTGAATATAAACACCCCACCGAGGCCCGTGCCCTTCATGCCAGCCCCCACCCGCCACCCCCACTTCTCCCTGCCTGGCAACCAGTCCTGAATGTTTCCTCAAGAGACAGGGCTGGGCCATCCACGCAGGGTTGGGACGAGGGGCGGGAGCCAGAGCCCCATCTCATGAGCAGGCAGCACCTCTGCCAAGGCCCTCGGCGGCCCCGCACGGGGGAGCAGCGGGGAAGGCAGCGGTCCGCGGGCTGGCAGCCCAGCCTGCGCCCCGAAGCCTGGGGGAGACAGCGGCTGACCTGTGGACTCGAAGACTGCTGCTGTGTGCTCATCTGACTCAGGCCGGTTCCTGAATAATATTAGAGGGGACCTGGGTTTGCGTCCTGGCTTGTCACCAATGTACTGAGTGACTTGGGCTAGTCACATGGTCACCTCCCCTTGGAATCTGTTTTTCCATCTCTGCGGTGAAGCGGTGACTGACTGATCATTTGCAAGGACATCGCCTGCTCTGAAGCCGTGTCTCGGACGCTAGAGTTCCAGGTGCCATTGCAGAAGTCTGGCCGGGACATGGGGAGCTGAAATGCCAATGGCCCTGGAACCAGCTCTCCCTCAGCCAGACTCATCTCTGCTTGAGACTTGGGAGTGACCCCTGCTGTCCCTGACGTGCCTGGGTTTGCACCTACTTCCCTCTCCCCCATATACTCACGCCCAGAGGATTTCTCTCCTATGTCATATCCTGGCAGGGCACCAGGGTGCGGAAGGAGCTGAGGAGCCAGACCCAGAGGCAGCCATGGGGACCTGTACTGTGGAGACTGATGCCAACATCTCCTCTGGCCTTGAGAGCAACACCACGGGCATCACCGCCTTCTCCATGCCCGGCTGGCAGCTGGCACTGTGGGCTGCGGCCTACCTGGTCCTCGTGCTGGTGGCCGTGACGGGCAATGCCACGGTCATCTGGATCATCCTGGCCCATCAGAGGATGCGCACGGTCACCAACTACTTCATTGTCAACCTGGCCCTGGCCGACCTCTGCATGGCCGCCTTCAACGCTGTCTTTAACTTCGTCTACGCCAGCCACAACATCTGGTACTTCGGCCGCGCTTTCTGCTATTTCCAGAACCTCTTCCCCGTCACGGTCACGTTCGTCAGCATCTACTCCATGACCGCCATCGCCGCAGACAGGCAAGAGGCGGAGGGGTTGGGAGAAGCTGGGGGGAGCCGGCTCACGTTGCTGGGGCTCAGAAGGGGCTGGTGACTGAACCCAGGGAATTGCCTCCCAACCTGGTCATGATCCAAACCTACACATCAGGAAGGCAGGGGACTGTGGGGCTGAAGCAGGTGAGGTGAAGGCTAGACTCAGGGAGAACTTCACACCAGATGGTTGTTCAAGGCAGGGCAAGAGTGGCAGTGTTTAAGGAACTTTCTGGAGTGTTCTGTTCTGCAGTTGCTCTTCGCTGTGGGCTCTGTCTTTTGCTACAAGGAAATTGCTCATACGGTTTTCCTACTCCTAGAGAGATTAGACGAGGGGGGATTTAATATTGCATGCAGTTAGCATATCATTACACGGAGACCATTATTTTCCCGTGGCTGCTGTCAGGGGCTGCAGACTGACTTCTGCTGAAGGGGTCGGGAGGGATGGAGGAGTGATCAGTGGGCAGATACGAGATCCTTGTAAAGCAGGCGCTGGGGCAAGCCGGGCCCGGTGTGAATGCAGAGGGGGACTGTGTGCCCCTGGGGGAGTGTGGTTGAGACAAACAAAAAGAAACAGGAAAGACACCAGACGTGTGGGAGGCAGGGTGGGAGCCCGGACCCTCGGAGACTCAGATGCCGCGTCAGGATGGTTTGATGCGGCTCACGGTCCCCCAGCCCAACCCAACTACCCCGGCAACCTCTCACCTACCGCAGCTCACTTCTCTGCTCTTGGCTATTTTATTATAGTTTCTCTGAAGATTTCATTTGAGAAATTTGTTTCTACTAATTAACAACAAAAAGGAAGTTTTAAGACCATTCATCTAGACCAGTGGTTCTCAACCTTCCTAATGCCAAGACCCTTTAATACAGTTCCTCATGTTGTGGTGACCCCCAACCATAAAATCATTTTCGTTGCTACTTCATAACTGTAATTTTGCTACTCTTATGAATTGTAATGTAAATATCTGATGTGCAGGATGTATTTTCATTGTTCCAAATGGAACATAATTAAAGCATAGTGATTAATCACAAAAACAATATGTAATTATATATGTGTTTTCCGATGGTCTTAGGCGACCCCTGTGAAAGGGTCGTTCGACCCCCAAAGGGGTCGCGACCCACAGGTTGAGAACCGCTGATCTAGACACACGTTCTAATTTTGCATCCAGGGAAACTGAGGCTAGAGAGATGTTCAGGATCCCCTGCGGTCAGCCAGCAAGTCAAGGGCAGGACCGGGTGACCGGAACCCAGGCACACACACCACTGCCACCACAAAAAAGACCCTTAACACCCCCCGGATATGACTGAAAGTCCCACTAAGATTTTCTTCCTTTTACTCAACAAGTATTTTGCGTGTGTCGTCTATTTCAGGCATTGGGAATATACAGCAATAGGAGACAATAGTCCCAAAATCATGACCTCATAAAAACTTCCTTTTTAAAACTTCCAGGAGACCAGGCAGGAGGCTGTTGAATAGTAATCCAGGTGAGAGAGGAGGGTGGCTCCGGTCAGGGTGGTAAGAGTGGAGACTTGTCCATTCATTTCTTCAGTCATTCATATGTTCAATGCCTACTATGTAGAGATACTGTTCTGGGCATTGGAGGGGGCGGGAAGAACAGAGAAAAATGCCTGCCCTGGTGAGAAGTTAAATAATAAATGCATGCATAAATAAATTATCTATGGCATGTGGAGTCCCAGTTCGCCGGACTCCAGCAGTGCTATGGGGAATGTTAGGAAGGGGAAAGGGAACCCGAGGTGCTAGGGTGTGTGTGTTGGGGTGGGGGCAGGTTGTAGTGTTAGACACGGCGTCAGAACTGGACTGGTTGTGAGGGTAGGATTTGAGCAGACAGAAGGGAGGCGAGAGGATGAGCCTCCTGGGCTCTGGGGAAGGAATGTTCCAGGCAGCAGGCGCAGCAGCAGCCACAGCCCGTGGCAGGAGCATGCCTGGGGGGCATGAGGAGCAGCAAGGAGAGTCTTCACCAAGAAGGGGGGGGAAGGGAGGGGGGCGGAAATGCTCTTGAGCACAGTCGGTTGCTCACTTCATGCCCCAGACCTCAAGGCATACAGCTCAGGGCAAGGGCCAAGTAAATAATAAATAACAAATAAATAAGTAATAAATAACACGTGAAGCTGGTCCTACTGTCCACGGCCGCTCCTCTGTAATAGACCACGAAGAAAAGCTCTCCTCTCCCACCCCACCTCCTAGAGCAGGAAGGACACCTAAGCCCACCCGTTGACTCTGGTCACCTACATCATCGATGGGGGTGCAGAATCCTCAAGAACCTTGAGGACCCAGCCAGTGTGGCTCTGTGGTTGAGCATTAATTCATGAACCAGGAGGTCACAGTTCAGTTCTTGTTTGAGACCCATGCCTGGATTGTGGGCTCGACACCCAGTAGGGGTCATGCAGGAGGCAGCTGATCAATGATTCTCATCATTGATTTCTTTTTCTTTTTCTTTCTTTCTTTCTTTCTTTCTTTCTTTCTTTCTTTCTTTCTTTCTTTCTTTCTTTCTTCTTCTTTTTTTTTTTTTGGCTTCAAAAAACTCTGTTTTATTTGGTCCAATGCACGGGAGAGGGCTTCAGGGTGTTAAAAGAATGGCTAATAGTTTTGGGGAGAGGCTCAGGTTAAAGCCAGACACCAGGGGATGCAGAGGGGCCCCTCAAAGGCCTCTGGGCTCCAAAGGCTCCTAGTTGTGCTTGAGGATGAGCCGTTGGAAGAGACTCTCGCCTAGCCCAGCCCCCCGCCCAGCCTGGGGGCAGCAGCCTGCGGAGGTGAGTCAGGTGTTGCCCATCTTCTTGATGAGCTTCACCTCCTCACCCCGGCAGTGGTTCTGCAGGAAGTCACAGAGGTCTGTGCGGGTAGAACCAGGGCCTGCAGATCCAAAGGGCCTGGTTCCGGTTCCTCTCCAAGGCCAGGGCGGCTCCATGGCACCCTGAGTTTTGCCCGCTCACTTTGGGCGGCTTCAGTGAGTCCTGGAGGAGAAGGCGGCCTCCGCGCTTGTTTTGCAGCTTTAAGAGACGCTCAGGGCCCTCGTAATTCTCCTCCACCAACTCGGGGAAGAAGCGGCCCCCGCCCCCGAGAGCTACACCGTTGTGGTCAAAGTGGAAGCCCAGAGAGAGGGAGCTGTGGGGCCCGCAGAGGCAGGCTGGCCGGGCGGTGGACCACAGCCTCCTCCTCGGTGGAATAATTCTGACGAATTTGGGAGCTCGTGGTTGTTCGGCAATAAGGAGTTAAGGTAGGAAAAACAGACAAACAAAACGGTGTGCTGGCTGGTCTCGGAGGTGCTTCTGAAGGTGGTGACTGGTAAGACGCAGGAGGGTGACCAGAGGCTGGAAGAAGGGGCGTCCCTGGGTCTGTTCTGTCCAAACACTGTGGAAGCAAAAGACAGATCCGGGACCGCCGAGGGCACTGCCATCATTGACATTTCTATCTCTCTCTCCCTCTCCCTTCCTCTCCAAAATCAAAAAATAATATATTTACTTTTTAAAAGACAGAAGGGTTAAAAAAAAAAAAAGATGAACCTTGAGGAACATGGCCTACTTCTCCTGCTAGGGTACTCGGCCTGGGTCTGGGCTGTGGAGGGGTAGGTCTGGCCGGGGGCCAGGCCACAGTCAAGGGAGAAGGTCAGTGTCACAGGGTGGGCAGGGCTGGGTCAATAGTCATCTAGTCCAGAGGTGCACCAGCTGTGACCGTGGACTGTGAGCGAAATGAGGGGTCATGAATTTGGAGGGGGGGTCGCAATTACCAATGTAGGCAGCACACCACGGTTCGCTGGGACTCCAGCAGGGCCTGGGACTGTCACCAATAGATACCGGTATCACAGGTACTTCTGTTGTGCAGAAATCTCAAAGTATCACCTACACTCACTACAATCACTACTTCAAAATCACCATAGTTTCCAGACCTGCTGGTAGATCTTGTTGTTTAGTGGATGGATAAAGAAGGGGACACATTACTATGCCCCAACTTTATTTTATATTTTAATGATGGTATTTCAGTGTAACCGATTGTCTTCATAATCCTGTGTGCTATACCACAGAGGGTCACACAGGCAGGCTGTTCCATCACCAGAGGGAGCCAGGGAAGGTGCTGGACAGTGCACTGGTCACATGCAGAGGGCATTGAATGCCGTGTTTAAAGGTTTGGGCCTATGCTGTCCGATAGCGTAGCTGTGGCCGGATGTGCCTATTTAAGTTCTAATTAATTAAAACTGCCCGAACAGGACAGTGCATGCAGAGAGCGTTTCCACCATTGCAGAAGGCTGGCGGCAGCACTACGGTGGGCTCTGTCCAGGGGACTGTTGGGCTCTGCTCAGGTTTCTGAGCAGAAGAGGGACTGGCCTAGGGCTGAGCTTCAGACAAATGTCCAGAGATGGACTTCCAATATGGCCACACTGCTCTCTTGTGGCCACGGAGAGCAAGTCCATTCTCAAAGGGAGGCGTGTACTGGGGGTCTGGGCTGGGGTTTAGGCCACAGTGTGCCATGTGGCTGTGGGAAAGCCAGCAGCCCCGCTGGCTCTCTGCAGGTCACCAGCAGCATGTGGGGAACGGGGCTAGAGGGTGTGGGCCTGCAGTGGGGGAGCAGGGGGGCTGGTGTGACAGGAAGGCGCCCACTGCTTATCCTGTCCTTTGCTCACAGGTATATAGCCATCGTCCACCCCTTCCAGCCACGGCTCTCAGCCCCTGGCACCAGAGCAGTTATTGCTGGCATCTGGCTGGTGGCCCTGGCCCTCGCCTTTCCCCAGTGTTTCTACTCCACCATCATCATGGACCAGGGAGCCACCAAATGCGTAGTGGCCTGGCCCGAAGACAACGGTGGCAAGGTGCTCCTTTGGTAAGGCCTGGGGGCGGGGGAGCATGGGTGTGTGCACATGTGCATACACCTGCCAATGTGTGTGCTTGTGTGTTTGCACACACATGCATGTACACATGTGTAGGGTGTGCATGTGGGTACACATATGTGTCGGTGAGTGTACTTGGGATTATGTGAGTACACGTGTAAACTACAAGTAATACCAAGTACTAAGTGTCAGGCTTGTTCTAAGTATATTACATATATGAACTCATCTACTTCTCTTAATATTATGGGATATGTATTATTATTATTCCCATTTTTCAGATGAGGAAACTGAGGTGCTAATAAACTAAGTAATGAGCCCTAACCAGTTTGGCTCAGTGGATAGAACGTCGGACTGAAGGGTCCCGGGTTCGATTCTGGTCAGGGGCATGTACCTTGGTTGCGGGCACATCCCCAGTGGGGAGTGTAGAGAAGGCAGCTGAATCGATGTTTCTCTCTCATTGATGTTTCTAACTCTCTATCCTTCTCCCTTCTTCTCTGGAAACAATCAATAAAATATATTTTAAAAATAAAAATAAATAAACTAAGTAGTGTGCCCAAGACCATTCAGCTAGTAAGTGGTGAAGGAAGGAGCTAAACACAGGCAGTCCTGCCTCAGAGCCCAGTCTCCCCCCGGCCCCAATCTGCCCCTTCGATCAGGATGTGCGCCCTTAAACGAGAATATGGATGCGTGCACATGTGCATGTGACACTGCGTGTGCAGGTGCACTGCCCCACTCATGTCTGTGAGCATTTGTGTGTGTATAAGTATGTGGGTGTGCTTGTGGGCGTGTGTGCACACAGGTACGGTCGGGAATGTGTGTGTAGGTCTGTGTTTGGGGGCGGGCACTGTAAAAGCTCGGGCCACACGGATCGGGGTATTGAGGCAGGAAGGAAGGGCAGGGGATGCAGCCTGGATGTTTTGGGGGGATGCCTGGTGCCTGCCTGTGCTAAGGTGGGTGCCAAGGGCTCGGGGGAGGGGGGGTAAACTAACCTCAGTGTGGTCCAGCTGCTGTGTGTCCTGGGTAAGCCCTTCCCCTTCTGGGCCTCCACATGCCTAGTCCTCATGGCGTGGCTTCCTGACACCCAAGCGTGGCATGGTCGGTTGTAGAGGATGAAGAACTGGTTGGGGGCTTGGAGTCCTACTCTGTCCCTGCTGCTGGAAGACCCTTCGTAGTCTCTTAACCTCTCTCTCAAATGGGGGTTATTAGTGGAAGGACCTTGTCCAAGGGCTGTTGTGAGCACATAGGAGAAAATTCCCAGAAGCCCCAGCACCATGCCTGTCACAGAAGTGGCGCCTCAGTATGTGGCGGCATAAATAGGGGACAAACAACCACAAACCTGGAGGTGGCAGGTTTAGTCCAACAAGGACCCAGCTGCCCCAAGCATGAGGATCTGAGCCGAGGGCTGCCAGGTCACCATGCAACACAGCCCCAGGACGTCCTGGAGGAGAATGCGGCCTCCCACATTCCTTCTATCCATAGGTATGAGGCTCCAACCTGGCTTGTTTCCCCAGGAAAACAAGCAGCTCCAACACCACCCCTTCCTGGTCCCCATCTGCCCCCGGCACCCGCCAGAAGAGGGCGGCGCAGTGGCCTTCAGTATTGGTGAAGGCGCCATTCCTCTGAGAAGCCTGTTCCTGGGGACTGTTGAGTTTTGAGGGCAGGCCCTGCCCGGGGTCTTGTCCCTACCCTGCACCCCACCTTCTCAGAAGGAGTCCCTGCTGCAAAGCCGGGTCCGTAGAGACGCTGACGGGTTCCCATTTTCTGGCTCAGGGAGGGATGGAGAGCAGACTATTCCGGGACTGGCCACTGGGAGGCGGTGTTCCCCACGTTATCCCAGGCCTCCCTGCCCTGAGAAGGGCCAGTGGGAAGCAGGGTAGAGCACCTGCTCCTGGGGCTGGTGCGCACCCACGATTCAGGCAACACTTGTGCACACCTGTGATTCTGGAAGGAGAGATTCCGAATTGTGAGTAGCGATGGGGGCGGATAAGTAAGTTTACTTCCTCCTTTGTGCTTACTGACATTTTAAGTTTTAAACAAATGTATGACTTTGTTAACTTCTTCCTTCCTACTTACTCCCTTTTTGGTGCTTGTCTATCACGGGCGGACGCAGGGCTAGCACTGGTTCCCTCCTGCAGCCGAGAGCCTCTGTGGGCAGGTGCTGGCTGACGTTGCCTTCATTTATTTATTTATCTTCCTTAACTCAAACTAAGGCCTGGGGGGGGGGGGCGCCAGGGGCGACCCCAGGGCAGCTCAGGGGTGCCCGCGCGGTCCTGGGGACTGGGCGCTGGAGGAGGCCGAAGTCACCCCCGTACCACAGGTGCCCAGGCCCTTGGCTCTCCCTCCAGGTACCACCTCGCCGTGATCGCCCTCATCTACTTCCTTCCTCTCGCGGTGATGTTCTTCGCCTACAGCGTCATCGGCTTCACGCTGTGGAGACGCGGGGTGCCCGGGTACCATGCTCATGGCGCCAACTCCCAGTACCTGCAGGCCAAGAAGAAGGTGGGCTGGTTGGGGGGCTGGATGGGGAGGGGCGGGGCTCGGAGCCGCTCTTCTGGGCTCCAGGCCCGCCCTCAGGGGGGCGCCCCGGAGCACAGGAGCCACAAGTCCTGGCCGGAGCCTGAATTCTTCTTCCAGGGCAGGCCGACTTGCCCTTGGTCTTTAGCTAAACACAACGTTAAAGGAACTTCCCAGAATGTTAGGAAAATCGGGAAATCCTAAAGCCCCACAGAATTTCAGAGACCTCCAAGCACCTTAGAATGACAGTAAAATCTTACTCTGTTGAGTAATCAGAATGTTGAATTTAAGAAGTCCCGCAGAACTACAGGAGAACTTGCTAGGATCACAGGAGAATTCTCTGATGCTAGAACTGCAGACCTCAGAGATCTTATGGAGGTTGGGCTGCCTTCCGGCAACATCATCCGCCTTCAGTATCAAAGGAAGGGCCAGTGTTCCCCCTCCTCCCTCCCACGCAGGCTCAGAGCTCATCCTTGCCTTGCCCGCTTCCTGTGAGGCAAGCAGGGAGGTGATAGGTTAATCACATTGTGTATCAGGTCGAAGTCCCGACTTCTCATCTACTATTTGACTATTTGGACATTTTCAGGGCAATTCGGGGAGATGGTTGGGTATAGGACACCATGTGGGTGTTCCTCCGCATGGAGAGCTGGTCTCCATTTGCCAGCCCAGGCCTGTCTTCCATCCCTCATGGTGTACTGGGCCATGCTCAAGGGCACCTGCTGAAACCAGCCATATGGGGGGGGGGGTCAGCTGGGCCCTGGGCACAGGCTGGGGTCCCAGGTTGGAGCCTCATACCTATGGATAGAAGGGCTGTGGCAGATAAATCCCCAGGGAGGGCAGCAGGACTGGAGACCCATAGCTGGCATAGGGACTCCCAAAGAATGGGGTTAGGAGTGAGTCTCATCTACAAGGGATCCAGGGCACCTGTTAAAGGAAGTGGCCACTGAGTTGGGATTCGAGGAGTGAGGACTTCAAAGGAAAGACAGCAGGGTGGGCCGAGGGACCAGGCTGAGCAGAAGCCCCTACACAGAGGGCCCAGGAGTGCCTGAGCAGCAGATGCCCCAGGGGACTGAGGCCATAGAGGTAGACAGGACCTGCTTGCTGAGGGCTTCCCAGGCTGGCAAGAGGGCACCCCGCCCCGCCCCGGGGAGGACGGGGGCTCGGGGCTTCCAGGTGAGGAGTGACCTAAGCCTTTCCCCGCAGTTTGTGAAGACCATGGTGGTGGTGGTGGTGACGTTTGCCATCTGCTGGCTGCCCTACCACCTCTACTTCATCCTGGGCAAGTTCCAGGAGGACATCTACTGCCACAAGTTCATTCAGCAGGTCTACCTGGCGCTCTTCTGGCTGGCCATGAGCTCCACCATGTACAATCCCATCATCTACTGCTGCCTCAACCGCAGGTGAGTCCTCATCCGGCCCCTCTCCTCAGCCCTCAGGGCCCCAAGGCCGGGCCCTGCCTGGCCTTCCCTGAGCAGCTTGAGCCTGTGCTCCTGTGTCCTTGTGCCCCCTAATCCCACATGGGATTGCCATCCTCACAGTGAGCCCCCAGCACCCTCCTCCTGGTGTGAGCCCACCTCCTCCCCAAAGCCTTGCCCATTGTTATCACCATGTGCCTGCTCCTGCTCTCTCTTCTGAGGTTACCTCTGGAACAAGGAGAGGGAGGGACCGAGAGATGGAGGGAGGGGAGAGGCAGAGAGAGGCAGAAGGACAGACAGAGAGGGAGGAAGGAAGGAGCCCAGTAAAAGACTTCATCTGTTCTGACATTTTGTAAAAATATATTTTTATTGTTTTCAGAGAGGTAGAGAGAGGGAGAAAGAGAGATAGAAACATCAACGATGAGAGAGAATCATTGATTGGCTGCTTCCTGCACACCCCACACGGGGGATTGAGCCCACAACCTGGGCATGAGCCCTGACCAGGAATCAAACTGTGACTAGGTCGAGCTCAACCACTGAGCCATGCCGGCGGGGCTGCTCTGACACTTTTAAGAGCTCCTGCAATGAGAAGAACCGAGGACTGTCCTTGGGCGAGGAGAGCACCAGGCAGTGGGGAGCACGCGATCAGAGACCCAGAGCCGAGCCTGGCGGAGGGGCAGCCTGCCCCCTGGGAAGATCGCGGTGCATTTCCTGCCCTCGAGGGGCGTCCGGGGCAGCTGGGACGTGACTTTGGCAGAGACAGCCAGGGAGGATGGAGCCACGGCCTCAGTCCTCCCTGACACCACCTGGTTCCCCCCACTGTGTGCTGCTGGGGAAGCAGAGTCCCAGAGACGGGCTGGCATTCGCTCTGGGCACTTGGAGAGGTGGGAGGAGCGGGGCCAGGCAGAAACCCCAGCACCCAGGAGCCCTGCTTGCAGAGCAGGCCATGCAGCCTCGAAACCCCGAAGGTGGGGTCAGGCCGGAGGATCTGAGAGGTGGACACCGAGTCTGAGCTTAGCTGAGAGTGATATGGGCAAGGTTAGCCTGGGCCCCTTGGCTCACGCCTTCTTGTCACCTCCCTGCCCACGTGTCCAAGCCGCTCAGGCCATTAGGGTCTCTGTTGCTCAGACATCCTGCCCACCTGGGGAAGGCCAGAAGGACATGAGAAATCTATACAGTGTATTGAGTGTTTAACGGGTGCCAGAACCCTCAATTGCCTCCTGCAAGGTAAGCAGATAATCGAGGGAGGGAGGTGTTCATTCCCATTTTACAGATGAGGAAACTGAGTCTCAGAGAAGATGACTTTTTTCCTAAACTCGCACAGCAAGCAGTGGAGCCAGCATCCATGTCTCTCCAAGACCTGTAATCCTATCCCCACACCACACATCTCTCTTGCATGCAGCTTGCAGAACTTGGGGACAGGGACTGTCACACGAGGGACCACCAGCACGCAGTGTCTGCTACCCGAGGACATAGTTGCCAGGGCTCTGCTTCCCCAAGGGACTCCCAAGTTCCTGAGACAAGTTCTGAGTCATTCAGTGTTTGATGACACTGGTGCTCCTGGCAGGGACCTTTGTGGAGACTATGACCACCAAGGGGCTGTGTGCCTGGCACTGTTCCAGGCACTTGGGAGACACCGGTGAACAGAAACAACGCTCCTTCCCTCTGGGAGCTGACATTCTAGTGAGGGGGCCAGACAACAAGCAGACATAGTGAGTGCATGAGGCATGAGGTGGTAAGTCCTACGGAAAAGAGAAAACACGAGAGCTGGGTGAGGGAGGACAGGAAGGGCTGGGGAGGTAGTGGGCATGGGGTACAATTTCACAGGGTGGTCAGGGTAGGCCTTCTGGAGGAGTCTTTTGAGCAAAGATTTGAGGGTCTGGGGAGAGTTCTAGGCAGAGGGAACAGCCAAGGCAAAGGCCTTGGGGCCAAGGGAAGGACTTGGCTGGTACTCTGACCTGGGGCGCCCTGTGGGGCAGAGCCCAGGAGACACGCTCTGACGTCCCTTTGAAAAGAATCAGTCTGGCAGCTGTGCCGGAAGTGGACCACAGCGCGGCAACGGGAAAGAGGGAGATGATGGTTAGGCTAGCGCAGGGATCCAGGCGACAGACGGTGGGTTTAGACTGGGGTGAGGCGTGGTGAGTCTGGATATTGCTAAGGCAAAGCCAACAGAGTGGATGGAGGGGAGGTGGCACGCGAGAGGAGATCAAGGATGACTCCCAGGTTCTTGGCCTGAATAACCGGAAGGACAAGGATGGAGTCGTCAGTTGTCAGGAACTGAGATGCGGAGGATAATGAGGAAGGGGTGTGGGGAGGGTGATGGTTAGCTCAGGCGGGGACGTGCTGAGCGTGGGTGTGAGGGGCAGAGGCCTCTAAGCTCCCTCAGTAAAGGCATTTTTGGGCCACACCGTGGAGTCTTGTAGAGCCACAAGGCAAGGAGCTAAAGTCAGACCTGCTCTTCTGGACCATGGAACCGTGTGGTTCCTGGGAACAGTCAGTAGTTCTCTCCCCTTCTCGGCAGTCACGCAGGGTCTCAGCTATTTCTCTTCCTCCCCGACAGGCCAGTGCTCGCTATACGCCAGCCCATTTCCTCCACTCCCGACCGGCTTCCTCCTATCCCTAAGTTGTATGTGGATCTCTAGTGACATCTCAATGATGCCGAGGAGAGTTATTTTTTATGCAAACATACCCAAACTTCATAGTTCCAAGTGTATGTTTTCTTGGGAGAGCACCCTTATTCCACCCAACATTGCCAAAGCCCCAATTTTTTAAGACTCCTATGAACATTCCTTTACAAGTCAGTGAACAAGCCAAACAAGGAAACCTGTTGTTTCTATATAGTTTATACTTGGTTTCTTTTTGTCTGTTGGTTATAACAAGTGGTATACTTCGGCTTGGTCACCCACTTCCATCACTAGACTTAGCTTCTGATTACTCCTGGCTATTTCAAAAAATCAAATCTACTAAGGACAGTGTCTCCTAAAGATAGGGCCCCTGAGCAGTGGGAGCTCCTGGGAGTGAGGCAGTGACTTTCCTCAAGGGGAGCTGGGCTCCTGGAGGTGGGGGAAGCCACACGACAGCTCCTGTCACTGTCCCCTCACCCCCTGCTCCAGCTGTCCTCCATCCCCCCAGGTTTCGCTCTGGATTCCGGATCGCTTTCCGCTGCTGCCCATGGGTCACGCCAACCGAGGAGGATAAGATGGAGCTGACTCACACGCCCTCTCTCTCCAGGAGGGTCAACAGGTGTCACACTAAAGAGACTTTATTCATTAGTGGGGATGTGGCCCCATCTGAGGCTACCAGTGGGCAGGCTGGGGGTCCCCCAGATGGGGTGCCTACTGAATCCTGAAGCCTTGTGCCTGGCTGCAGGGTGAGGCTGACACCCTCTGAGAAGCAGCAGGTCAAGAGACCAGATGTGAAAATCTGGCCCATGCCTCACCCTTCAATACATGGATGGAAAAACAAGACGGGTCTGGGAACTCTACAGCGGATGCTGACTTTAAGGGGACCTAGCCTTCCCTCTCAGTGCTTCGGGGGACCCAATAGGAGCGAACACATCTAATCCAGGAGTTGCAAGTTCAGACGCCTTCCTGGGCATACAACATCATGTGTAAATTGGACCCAGTATAAAAGGAGAACTGCCAATATGATGATAAAAGGCCACTGGTTTCCAGTGTTGGGGTAACAGGGAATAGTGGGGACTGTGGCAAATGAGAGGACATAGGTATCCACAGAGGACAGTAGCTGATCGGCTCTGGACAAATGCTGCCATGTGGCAATGGAGCTCATTGTTGCCAGATCTAAATCCAGAGAAGCCAGAAATCCAAATGTGTGAGGCTTCTGGACTTGCTGCATTTGGCTCACATGTTTATACATGTTGGGAACACAAAACAAAACTCACCTGTGGGCAGCACCCAACAAGACACTGATTCTTCTCCAGTGAAAAGAAGGTCAGAAGGTTCTTGTTTTGCAAAGCATCACCTGTGAGTCAATCCGAGGCCTCTCTGCTCAGCATCTAAGAACTCAGATCCAGCCCAGTAGAGATGGTGGTTAAGAGTCAAAGGAATTGAAAACTGGGGAGAAAATAAGAGGCAAAGGGAGCCCCAGCTGTGCTGCCTCAGACAAGTCACTCTGACCCTCGGCTCTTCCTCTCCCCGCGGCGGTGTCCCCGCGGCGGTGGCGGTGAGGATGGCGGAAGTGGTGCCTATAAACTACCAGGCCAAGCACAGGTTAAGCGCCTAATAGACAGCAGCCATGGCCTTTGTTACTAGCATGCTGGCCGTCTTACAGAATGGCGCCTGCAATCAGCAACACAACTCTCACCCCCACTTCCACAGCAAGAAGGTGGCAGCCAGAAACCACCAACTGTCCCGACGCCCGGACAGCTCCAGGCCTGGCCCAAAGGCACCCCCCCCACCCCCGCTTGCCAACTCGCCCTCTACACCGCAGGGTCCCGGCAGAAGAACCAAGATTAATGTTGTGTTCTCCACAAAGATCACTGTGCACAGGCATCGGCACTGCCCAATAAAGGGACTGGTCTCACCACACCAAGGGAGCATGCGGTCAGTCCTGGGGGGGCGCCCGTCCGGGGGGGGGGGCACCCAGAGCTGTAGCCATGGCTTGGGAGGCTCACGTGCCCCCCGTCACAGGCACCAGAATGCGGACTGATGTGGGATCCTCCAAAAGGACGGGCTGTGGGAGGATCCAAAATGGAACAGCGGCCTCAAGGCTGAGGAGGGGTAGGGACGCAAGGGTCCACTAAGGGCCAGGCTCCTGCGGAAGGGGTTAATGTCAGGTGGGGGAGAGGAGAGTGCAGCCACCCTGTGCCCAGGCTGCTGCAGGACTTCATCTGCGTGGGGCCTCGGTCCGCCATCCTCTGGATGTCAGAGTTGGCAGAGAAGGTGCCGAGGGCAGATCTGCTTGGGGTGGCAGGGGAGGCGGATGTGGCCCAGCCTCTCATTAAACCCAGACAGCCCCGGAAGCCAAGTGGACTTTTTTCCTTGTTCCCACAGCAAGTGAGGAAGCCAGGCTGCAGGAGGACAGAGGGCACCTCTTTACCTGGGACGGGGGCTGCAGGAGGACAGAGGGCACCCCTTTACCTGGGACAGGGGCTGCAGGAGGACAGAGGGCACCCCTTTACCTGGGACGGGGGCGGCAGGAGGACAGAGGGCACCCCTTTACCTGGGACAGGGGCTGCAGGAGCCTCTCCCCAGGACAGGACCCTGGGGCTGGAGCAGGTGCTGGAAGACCCGGGGAGAGGCTAGCCCTGACGCAGCAGGGAGAGACCACAGGAGTCCAGAGGAAGGCGGGGCTAAAGAACTCGATCTTCACCTCAATTCCCCCCTTGACCAGGCAGCCACAAAAACCCCCAGGGTTTGGTTTTCGCCACTCCATGTCCTCCCCGGTCCCCGGCCATCAAGCATCACTCAGGTCTTTGAACTGGTACAAAGTTTACTAGGTCATACGACATGGCTCACAGAAGCGAAGGGACATTCCAATGAGGGCACTGTTTTGTTGTTGGTTCCTTTTACACAGGAGACAAGACACTTTGCCACAGGACCGAGCACCTCCCCCCCCCAAGACAGAATGCAAGACAGTCACAACGTGGCTACGACCAGGTCCACAGACACACAGCCCAGTGGCATGGACACGCCCGGACGGGAACCTTGGGAGGCCAGCAGTGGGTGCTGGGACGGGAGGAGGCGGCGAGCGCCCCTGGGCGGAGCGCAGGCAGTGTCTGCTGGTGATAATACATTTCACACGGGGGTTTGTCCCCAAGGACGGGCTGCAGACGCCCATGAGGCCTGTCCGATGGTGTGACTGGTCATCTCAGGCCAATAAATAATGTTGGACGAATGCATAAATTAGAATGGACACCACGACACTTCACACGTGGGGAACAGATGGCCAGGGTGAAATCAACTCATGCAGAGTGGCAGGGAGGTGAGGAGGGCCCGGAGGTGAGAGGTATTATCAACAGCACACACTGGATTCTGTACCCTACGTTAGGCGCCAGTGGTCGGCGTTTGCTCTCCTCCCGCTGTGGCAGTGGCGGGCTCTGGTGCTGGCGTCTCCCAGCTCCACTCGCTGGGAGATTGGGGGGGTCGCTGCTTGGAGAGAGAAGTAAGTGTTGGAAGGGCAGCAGGCTGGGGTCCGGGGCTCTTAGCTGCCCCGTTCGTCCCGGAGCCGGACGCCCACTGCCGTGATGAGAGCAGCTCCCTTGCCACTGCCATCTTCAGACAGGAGGAAGGACACGTTACACTTTGGTGACAGTTCCTTCACGGTTTGGTGCATGATTCTGGAGAAGCTGAAAAAGAGAAGAAAAGGGTAGGTAGGGTAAGATGAAAAGAGATGCTGGACCCACCTGAAGATGCTAAAGGACTCTAATAATAAGGAGGGCAAACATGACAGGAGGGGCTGCTTAGCAGCAGCTGTGGCTTATTGAGAATGGCAGGTGGATTTATAATCAATCCTATGATTACAATTCTCAGCTGAGAATCAAAACCAAACTACCCTGTACAGCAGACAAGGGCCAGGGCATGAATAATACACTGAGACACGCCTGTCCTCAAAGACACACCTTGAGGTTCCTAGAGGACCAAAAACCAAGAGCTGTGCGAGGGCCTCCATGGGCAGGAAATCATCTGCCCACAGCTGCAGCCCTCGGACCCCCCACCCCATCACCAGCTACAGCCCAGCACCAGAAGCCAAGAGGGGGAGGCCTGCTAGTGAAGGAGAATCTCTAAATGAGAGGTGACTCGAGGTTCTTGCATTTTTTGTTGAAAATGAGACCAGACTGAGGATGCTCAGGACATGGGGGCTCTCAGAGGTCACGTGGACTGCCCTTTGCGGAACACCTACCATTTACCTACACTTTATACACATAATTTCCAGTCCTGCCAGCAGCCATTATCCCATGAGGAAGGAGAGACTTGGCAAGACTGAGCAACTGAACACGGCTTCCAAATGATGGTGCCAGGATTAAATCCAGGTGTGTATGGCTCCAAAGCCTAGCTCTAAACCACACCTGGGTGCTACCTCAGGTGAGGAAGAGGGTGGCTATTAAGGTGGAGCCAGACAGACGGGTCCATCCCCAGCCATGGCCATGAGGTAAGCAAGAAGTGCCTACGATGAGTTGGGTAACGTTGCTGTGAAGTAGGGTGACATTATGGCCTGGTGTGGCTGGGATGGTCCCAGTGTAATTATTAATAGCACTCTCTTCGCTGACAAAAGCACCCAAGAGTTCAGACAGTAAATTATATGGTCACTATTCGTAAGAGCCAGGTTTTGGGACGCGCTTGGCACAAAGAGCAGATGAGGTGTCGGGCACTTGACCGAAAGAAGTTCCTCCCCAGGCCCCTCTCTGCTACAAGCCCAGAGCCAACACGACTCCTGTGTCTCCTGGCAAGCTGATTTAGCAGATGAACAAGACAATGAGCCCTCCTCCCCCTTCCTTCACTCCCTCTCCCCGCTTACCAAATAGCCTCCTGGCCAGGCTGCAGCTACCCAGGCTGATGGGGCGGCCCACACCCCTCTCTCCTTCCTTTCCTGCTCCCCACCTGGACTCTGCCCGACCTAAATGGGCCCAGGAGGAGCGGGGAGAGGGACACGCCATGGCCCTGGTGTAAGCTGGCCAGGTAAAGCGCGAATCTGCCTCTCTCGGTTAAACTTCAGAGCAGTCCACGACCTCATCCCAGCTCAGCCCCAGTCCCTGAGCGCACAGCCGTCGGGTGAGGCATTTTCCTGGTGGGACTCACATCCCGATGCCCCATAACCATCAAAGGACCTCGCAGCCCAGGGAGCTCCGCCCATCCCAACCAGAAGCCCCACTCACTGCGGATGAAGCTTGTAGAGAGTTCCATCCACCCCCACGGTCACGTCGAGATGGTCCAGCCCTCTGTTTTCTCGGATCTTATCCACCACGGCAGCCATGCCTGCACCACACAGCTGCGCGGCCCTCCTGGACACCACGCCGCACACGGTCTTGACGAGGATACTGTCGTCGCAGGTGCTGTTCAGGCCCAGCTGCTGCAGGATGGCCCGGACCTGGAGCAGCGCCAAGCGGTCACTGTGGGAACAAGAGCAGGAGGCTGCATGAAGCAGGACCACGAGAGCAGCCCGGGAGCCCACTCACTGTACTTACCCGTGAATAGGTCATGGGGGCTTTTCCCCATCTAAGTAACATTTATTTGTAAATTTTTAAATGATTCCCCCAAAGTACTACCTGTTAAATTGTAGAAAATCTGGCAAATCTAGAGAAATAAATATTGGAAACTGAAAGCCATCCACAATCCCAACACTGGGGGAAATGCTATGAACATTCCCAACCTATTTTTTTCTGAATTATCT